AAAGGGAAACCCAGCCGCGAGCTGCCCAGTGATTTGGCATGGGTCCCCAGATCCTCAAAAAGTTATACTGCTGCAGCATCGAGAGCATCCTGACCGGTTGTATCACCGCCTGAAATGGGACATACAGTACCAGTCAAAACTTTGGACACACCTACTCATTCAAGGGTTTTTCTTTATTTTTTACTATTTTCTACATTGTAGAATTATAATGAAGGCATCAAAACTATTAAATAACACATATGGAATTCTGTGGTAACCCAAAAAGGGTTAAACAAATCAAAATATATTTTATATTTGAGATTCTTCGAAGTTGCCACCCTTTGCCTTGATGACATATTTGCACGCTCTTGGCATTCTCTCAACCAGCTTCATGAGGAATGCTTTTCCAACTGTCTTGAAGGAGTTCCCACATATGCTGAGCACTTGTTGGCTGCTTTTCCTTAACTCTGCGGTCAAACTCATTCCAAACCATCTCAATTGGGTTGAGGTCGGGTGATTGTGGAGGCCATGTCATCTGATGCAGCACTCCATCACTCTCCTTCTTGGTAAAATAGCCATTACACAGCCTGGAGGTGTGTTTTGGGTCATTGTCTTGTTGACAAACAAATGATAGTACCACTAAACGCAAACCAGATGGGATGTCGTATCGCTGCAGAATGCTTTGGTATCCATGCTGGTTAAGTGTCCCTTGAATCCTAAATAAATCACAGACAGTGTCACCAGCAAAGCACCCCCACACATCACACCACCTCCTTCATGCTTCATGGTGGGAACCACACATGCGGAGATCATCCGTTCACCTGCTCTATGTCTCACAAAGACACGACGGTTGGAACCCAAAATCTCACATTTGGACTCATCAGACCAAAGGACAGATTTCCACCAGTCTAATGTCCATTGCTCATGTTTCTTGGCCCAAGCAAGGCTCTTCTTCTTTTTGGTGTCCTTTAGTAGTGGTTTCTTTGCAGCAATTCGACCCTGAAGGCCTGATTTACACAGTCCCCTCTGAACAGTTGATGTTGAGATGTGTCTGTTACATGAACTCTGTGAAGCATTTATTTGGGCTGCAATTTCTGAGGCTGGTAACTCGAATTACCTTATCCTCCAGCAGAGGTACCTCTGGGTCTTCCATTCCTGTGGCGGTCCTCATGAGAGCCAGTTTCGTCATAGCGCTTGATGGTTTTTGCGACTGCACTTGAATAAACTTTCAAAGTTCTTGAAATGTTCAGAATTGACTGACCTTCATGTCTTAAAGTAATGATGGACTGTCGTTTCTTTTTGCTTATTTGAGCTGTTCTTGCCATAATATGGACTTGGTCATTTACTAAATAGGGCTATCTTCTGTATACCCCCCCTACCTTGTCACAACACAACTGATTGGCTCAAACGCATTAAGAAGGAAAGAAATTCCACAAATTAACTTTTAAGAAGACACACCTGTTAATTGAAATGCATTCCAGGTGACTACCTCATGAATCTGGTTGAGAGAATGCCAAGAGTGTGCAAAGCCGTCATCAAGGCAAAGGGTGGCTCTTTGAAGAATCTCAAATATAAAATATGTTTTGATTTGTTTAACACTTTTTTGGTTACTACATGATTCCATATGTGTTATTTCAGAGTTTTGATGTCTTCACTATTATTCTACAATGTAAAAAAAGAAAAACCCTTGAATGAGTAGGTATGTCCAACATTTGACTGTTGGTGTACATACTCAATGCGCGAGTTTCAAGTTTGGGGAAGATCATTTTCACTATAAAAATGCATAATCGCATTTGCGGTCACTTTTGAGAGTGGTGTTTTCACACTAATTGATTGCATTTTTGAACATTCATGCTCATAGCCTACTGCCATGTGTGCATTGCTGCGCTTATGTGAAGAAATAGCCTATTAGTTTATTAACATTTTAAGCTTAACATTCTGATCTGTTCCTTCAAAAAAGCTTTTTTGACGCTAATGGTTGTATTGATTTGGGATCTATCGCATCCCACAACTCTCTCAGACTAGAATAGGTCAACTTTTGTACTATTGGGGATGGTAAATGGACATAGGCTAGTGCTTTTGCTGTTCGTTAGGCCTACTCATTCTACTCTACTCATCAGCCACTCTTGTTTGCTGATGAAAAGTACGTGGACAGTTCTTCCAATATCTTGAATATGTGCCTCGTAATTGGATAAGGACGCGCACAGTTGCGTCCACGATGTGTCGGTTTTCACTTGTAGCCTGTGAGAAAGACCCGATCATGTGACAGCATTGGTTAATAAGAATTGAGATCTGAGCGAGCCATGTGAGTGAGAGGTCCTTTGGAGCACGCAGCCGGGAGAAGGGAATTATAATGGCAACAAAAGGCATGGATTTTTTTAGGGGGCATTACGACCACACAAAGGGGATGCTGCCGGGAAATTCGAGGCATTATCAAGTGCTTGTCAAATTGTGAATGAGAGACTGATGAAGTGTGTGCAGCCTGAGCAGAAAACAAAGCAGAGCTCATGCCTTTCATGCAACTTTTTTCAAATCATAATTAGTTGCTTCATGCAGCCTTAGAATGTATTAAAAATCAAAACATATAGCCCAATGTTTGTATCACAACTAAAGTTGCATAAATAACTCTAAATTAGCACAATAGGAGGACCCTCTTTCTTTAACTGCTCAACACAGAATAGCCGCATATGCGCGCTCCCTCTGAAATTCGTTGGAGAAAGAATCCTTTCTATTATATTCAGCTATGTTCAATTGTATTCTTCATACTATAAAATAATATAAAATAATGCCATGGAATTCTAAGCAAATCTTGTCTGCTAAATTAACTAGTATAGCCCACAGCCGTATAGCATAGCCAGATCAGGGCTTTACATAAGGACAACTCAGAGTATTTTATTCTGTTCTTCTGAAATAGACTACATTTTCTTCATATCATCTTTCTTTAGACCTGTCTAAAATAATTGATTTATTGTGATGGTGTAGGCTATATTACATGGAGTTATTAGACTTTTTAAAATGTAGATTGTTCCAAAGGTCTGCATCAGTGGCTTGTAGGCTATGCGTTGAAGCCAGGCGATGCTAAATGTGTTAATGTTAATTAATGGTCAATTACCGTGAGACCGGCAGTTATTTGCTTGACAATCACTGGCTGACAAAATTTCATAACCTCCACAGCCCTACATCCTGGGCTTTTTTCTGTCTCAACTCCAGTGATTCATGGGCCGTGGAATGGCGTGACAGGATGTTGCCTCTCTCAACATCTTTCAAGCGCAGGGAGGAAAAGCGAGAGGACTGCATGAATGAAAGGACCAACGGATGAATGACTGGACGAGTGAATGAATTGGTAAACAAACAAATGAATGAACGAGAGAATGCAACCAGGGGGGTCTCCACTAGGGATCTGGATAAATGCTGACAATCACTCAATGTACAAGTACATTGTGTGCAAGCACAAAAAACAAATACACCACAATTTGGAGAATGGCCATCGTTGCTCACACAAAAGCGAGTCCATTCAGAAAGTCCTGTTCTACTGGCCGATAAATGGGTTCAGCACTAGCCTACAGGTTTGGAGCTTACTCCGAGGTCACTGTGCAGAGAGGGGATTAGGAACCTGGGTTTGTTTCAGCAGAATAGGGGGAGGGGAGGGGCGAGAGAGGAGCAGGGAGGGGAGGGGCGAGAGAGGAGCAGGGAGGGGAGGGGCGAGAGAGGAGCAGAGGGGAGGGGCGAGAGAGGAGCAGGGGCTGGTGTGTGTGTGACAGTCTATGTGTGTGGCACGGAGGGAGAAAGAGAAGGTAGCCAAACTGACTCGCTCAAGTTAGAACTCGCTCTAGTTAAAACTTATGTCAGCAACAAGTTTTTCTATCATTCCATCTGGTAGCCTGTCTTCACTGCATCAAATCGTTGTAGCTAAAGAAGCTAGCTAGCTACAGTAGCCAGCTAAGTTAGCCAGCTAGCTAAAGTAACAAGGCTAATTTAGGCTATTTTGCTGCGCTCCCCATACTTGTCTACAACAACTCCATTCATATGAAACAACAGCCTACCTGTTGGTTGATCATTGTAGCCTACTCCTTCTCATTTAGCCAACTTAATTCCGTAATTTTAATTCCATTTTGCTTTGATAAGAAATCTCCCACTTCATTGCTACACATGGAGCCTCTGACTGTAGCCACTTTGATTGACCGACAATAACAACAAGCACCGTGACTTTTTTTATGGGGCGCACTCATAAAAACTGTCAAGTGTTTTATAAATGTTTTGAATGTAATGGTCTATCCTTGTAGGCTATGTAGCAATGTCACGTAGATCATTTTATTTAATTTTAGACAAAGCCTTTTCATTGTTAAAATAGGCCTATATATGTTTATTTTTATATATACGCTCCCAAGTAATCGAATACTAACGTCTGTTCGTATTTTCGAATATTCAAATAACCGTGCCCATCTCAAACATAAAGCACTTCCATGACTGGGTTTGTCTCAATTGGAAAAATAGGCTAATAGGTCTATAGACATTTTTGCTTTTTGCTTGTGTTGCTTAAGAACTTTACATTGACTCTGTTATCTATTTCAAGACTAGTGACACACTATTCCTGAAGTTTTAGATGTTTGATGTTCTTAACTTTTCTTAAGCATTTGGTAGGCTCTGAAAAGGTTATTATAGGTAAGTAGCATTCCAACATTGGCTAGTCAGGTTCTTACAACGTCATTGGATCTTGCTGCCTGCCCTGCGGAGAAGCAGTGTTGCTGTTTTCCTGCAAACACATACTTTTGTCTCAAAGGCACTGACTTAAGTAATCAGCTATTCAGGCCTGAGGTGAGGTATGTGGGGTGGGAGCGATCTAAGATGGGGCCTCCAGCACCTGTTGTGGGCCCAAGATGCGCCTGTCAGTGGTCCACTCCAACATACCTCTCCCTTACCCAGAACCATCGCTCGCAGACCAAAACGTTTCCTTAACCACAGATGACACACATGCAGATGTTGCCAGAACTTGGTGCTAATGAATGCTTCCTGTGTTTCAGGTACATAACAGCTTTAATGGACTCTGCGGAAGAAGAGCAGAGTGAGGCTGAGGAGGGTCAGAGTCTGGATGAAGTGACTGTGATCGAGCCTCTGGATGAGTTCTCAGCCCTCCTGGAGAGGTTGGACGCTCTACACAACGGCAGCGATGGAGACAAGAGGGAGTGCCTCCGCACCATGCTGGATAAGAGGGAGGAGGTGGGCCACATCAACCAACTGTCCAAGTCTTGAGTTCGGATGTCCTAGGGCTAGTAGATATCTGTATTTAAAATAAAATACAATCACAGCAGTAGCAGACATGGGTTCAAATAGTATTTGCTTTCTTTCAAAAAATGTCAGCTGTGCTTGATTGAGCTTGCTTGAGTTTGCTTGGTGCAATGAAACCAATGGAATAGTTCCAAAAGAGCAAATCTCGCCCATCTAGCCCTGTAGACAGGCCTAATCCAGTGGTGCTTACAGTATTTGAAAGAAAACAAATACTATTTGAATCCAGGTCGGAGCAGTAGAGCTCCTAGGTGAAGCCTGCCTCCAAATAAAGGTCAATGACGTAAAGTTTATTGACACTGACACAGTTTATTGACACTGACACCTCTTTTCTTCACAGTTTGGACAGAACACTACATTCTTATGGCGACTAGTTCGGGCCTACGTGGATGTTCATGACATCACTACCAACCTAGAGCAGAAGAAGACCCATGCAGAGACTGGTAATAAACCACATACTGACCGTTGATCCCCAGCATTCACACCATTTACCAAAGATTAGGGTTACAGTGAGGGAAAAAAAGTATTTGATCCCCTGCTGATTTTGTACGTTTGCCCACTGACAAAGACATGATCAGTCTATAATTTTCGGTCTAATGTCCATTGCTCGTGTTTCTTGGCCCAAGCAAGTCTCTTCTTATTATTGTTGTCCTTTAGTAGTGGTTTCTTTGCAGAAATTCTACCATGAAGGCCTGATTCACGCAGTCTCCTCTGAACAGTTGATGTTGAGATGTGTCTGTTACTTGAACTCTGTGAAGCATTTATTTGGGCTGAAATCTGAGGTGCAGTTAACACTAATGAACTTATCCTCTGCAGCAGAGGTAACACTGGGTCTTCCCTTCCTGTGGTGGTGCTCATGAGAGCCAGTTTCATCATAGCGCTTGATGGTTTTTGCAACCACACTTGAAGAAACTTGACAAGTTCTTGACATTTTCCGGATTGATTGACCTTCATGTCTTAAAGTAATGATGGACTGTCGTTTCTCTTTGCTTATTTGAGCTGTTCTTGCCATAATATGGACTTGGTCTTTTACCAAATAGGTCTATCTTCTGTATACCCCCCCTACCTTGTCACAACACAACTGATTGGCGCAAACGCATTAAGAAGGAAATAAATTCCACAAATTAACTTTTAACATGGCACACCTGCTAATTTAAATGAATTCCAGGTGAATACCTCATGAAGCTGGTTGAGAGAATGCCAAGAGTGTGCAAAGCTGTCATCAAGGCGATGGGTGGCTACTTTGAAGAATCTCACATTTGTTGAACACTTTTTTGGTTAGTGCATGATTCCATATGTGTTATTTCATAGTTTTGATGTCTTCACTATTATTCTACAATGTAGAAAAAACCCTTGAATGAGTAGGTGTGTCCAAACTTTTGACTGGTACTGTATGTCTTGGTACTGCTGTCACCTGAAGGATTAGGATGAAGTACTCACAACTATGTGCATCACCAATAATGCACAATGAACCATTGACAGGGTCTATTGCTCCATATTAAGTTGTCTTAAGGAATAAGAAACGGTTGTGTGTTGGTTTATTTCCCCCATGCAATCCAGCATGTTATCTCATTGTTAGCTCGGCTGTTTGGCCAAAACAACACTACATATAACCGTGATCTTTTCACGCTTTTCAGATGTGCAGTATAGTATGACGTAATGCTGTTGTCAAAACAGAAACCTCTCTAAAATAGCTTCTATAAAAGGCAATAAATAATTATTTATCCTCTTTGAGCACACAACCCATCATGTTTGTACCATACAGCTGTCATTGCATGCACCACTTCCAAGTGAACTTAGATGTTCCCTCAAATATAATAATGTTATGCATTCTGTTTGCATGCGTTTCTTTTTTCCCTGCCTTTGCTGAATACTCCATCCCCTGCATTGCTTGTAAGCAAAGATAAAATAACTCGCAACGCTCTTTGCATGTCTTGTGTTACACTGTAACTAGTGTCGTGACATGACTTGCATTCATGTAATGACTGTTATTTATCTAGTCTCTCATTGCCATACCGCCAAAATCATATCATTGTCACGCCTCCCTTGGAGGATTTTTGTATTGCAAAAATGGTTTGAATGGTCCGCTGGCTCCCAGCAGCAAGATTTTGATTGGATGTTACATTTCAAGAACCCTCCCCCCACACGCCCGTAGAAGAAGTGCTGTGTGTTATGTGCGTCACTATTTTCCGTCAAGGTAGGACACATTTTATAGAGAGTTGTTGCGTGTGCTAGTTTTCAAGTTATCAAGTGTGGCCGACAGTCTGCGATTTTATATTTATTGAAAGTGGATTACTCTGGTAAAGTCAAACGTCACAACACGTTCTAAACCGCTCTGGTGGCACACACTTTTTTGCTTTGTCTCCATTCATCCACATGGCTGCGCTTTACTGCCACCTAGAAAATCTCGAAGATTGCCCATTATTTATTTTTTGTAAGGACCCAAAAAACAGGCGGTGGGAGGACCTATTCAAGTAAGTAAATACATTTTGAAAAAGTAAAAAATAAATATGTATTACAGTACTAGTAGGCCACTTTGTAGGCTAACTCATCTGAGCTGCTAGCTAGCTATCTAACTTTACACTGTTTAGCTAAGTGAATTAAATGTCAGCAGCTAGCTAACCTTCTATTAGCTAGCTATCTTGATGTAATCATTGTAAATTAAAAACAGTCTCCAAATGCATTTGTAGATAACAGCCATGGAAGAGGGTGAAATTGCAGCTCCAGCTGTCAGTAAAGGGGAAGTTTAGGCTACTGGATAGGGCAGGTAACTTTGTGGGAGGACATTATGAAAAGATTACAGATCTCAAGTTACAGTACTTCGCGTGAAAAGCTTTGAGGACAAATACTGTAATACCAACATAATATTCAGTGACGTCTAATTTGAGTATAATGAAGCCTGTTTCTTTGACGTTTTCTGTCCTCAGATATGGAGCGCTGTGATAGCCTGTGTTTGCAGATGAAGCGAGAAGTCCCAATGAATGTCCAAAGAGACTAATGATGCATTTCCATACAGGATTTACCCCAGTGTTTAACGCAAAAGGCTCAGACTTTTCGGTTTCCATCTACACTGGCCGACACCGATGTCTCACTGGGCCATGGCTCCGGCGGACCTGCTCTCACTTGGGGACAAAGCAAGCCACTGGTACTTTTCATCTGGCGTTTACATAACAATGGCTAACTGTGAACTTGAACACCTTCTCACAAAGCAACTGTGTATACCAGCGGTATTTTTGTATACAACATTTGCTAACATGGATAGGCCTACCTATATTCCATGGGTTATATGTGTAGGCCTACCTATATTAGCTCATGTTGTATACAAAAATACAGTTAAACATCACACACAGTGTATAAACCTATTACAATTGGAGCAGTCCAACCCTTGTTGGAGGTCTGCTGGGTGTGCAGGGTTCTGTTTCAGGACATCTAATGAGTTGATAATCAAGTGTGCTATTGCTGGGCTGGAACAGAAGTCTGCTCACCCAGTAGATCAGGGATTAGTGGAACAAGGTTGACCACCGCTGGTATGGAGTTTTTTTGTTAACCTGAAATTATGCTTTAGTAATAATTGCCTACTTATTACTACTCAATTATCTATTGTTGTTTAGACTAAGATGTCTAATCTTTACATACAAGTTAGCTTATTTTTACATTTTGTAGTGATGAAGTGTTGGTTCTTTTGAAGTGAAGAGTTTAAACTTGTTTTAATTGTTAAATTATTATTCAAATGTCAATGTTGCTCAATCATATAACACAATCCTGCAATAAAGAGGGGAAGGGGTTCTGTCTGTAATGTGTCTTTGTTTGTTGTGTTGTATTCTCCAATGAACATTTCCTTTTGTCTAGTTGTAAGATCTCCAATATGTTTTATTTGATTGTCGCTGACTCAGTATATCAGCTATCTCAATCAATTTCGCAGCTTATCAATGCAGCCATAGGCCTACAGTATGATGGCATTACTGGTCTGTCATCTGAAGCAGAGAATAGCTAAACTCACACATTATTTACATGTTGATCTATACACTGAGTGTACAAAACATCTTTCCATGGCATAGACGGACCAGGTTAATCCAGGTGAAAGCTATGATCGCTTATTGATGTCACTTGTTAAATCCACTTCAATCAGTGTAGATGAAGGGGAGGAGACAGGTTAAAGAAGGATTTTTCATCCTTGAGACAATTGAGACTTTGGATTGTGTATGAGTGCCATTCAGGTGTGAATGGGCAAGACAATAGATGGAAGTGCCTTTGAACGGGGTATGGTAGTAGGTGCCAGTCGCACTGGTTTGAGTGTGTCAAGAACTGCAACGCTGCTAGGGATTTCAGTTTCCCATGTGTATCAAAAATGGTCTACCACCCAAAGGACATCCTGCCAACTTCACACAACTGTGGAAAGCATTGGAGTCAACATGGGCCAGCATCCCTGTGGAACGCTTTCGACACCTTGTAGGCTTGAGGCTAGCTAGCCGCCTATCATGCTAGCTCGGTTTTCTTGAGGGCTTGAACGCAGCCTGCTTCGCGGTTAGCAATTATGGCTGGGACTGCGGATTGTCCCGGGCTTGTGGCTGTCTAGATCCCTGCTGTTTTGTTGTTGTATTGATCACATTTTTACTAATACTGTAGAACTTTGTTCTAAAGCTGTATTGAGGGAGCACGCACTAAGGCAGGAATTTCTCAGCCACCACCATCCACTCTGAAAAAGAGTCCCACAAAAACCCAGGACCAGGCCAACAGCTGAATCAGAACCCACCAACCAACCATTGCACCAACCCAGCTGATCCCCTCCATCCCCATCTCACGGCCTGTAATTACTCCCATCACTCCTGCTATCCGCCATAGACCTGATGAGAAACCAGACATTATATTAATGATGGACTCAAATGGAAAGTTTATATTCGAGAATAGACTTTTCCCAAGTAAAAAGGTGTCAAAATTATGGTGCCCCACAACAGAGAGAGCTATGGAGCTCTTGCCAGTGGCCCAGCTTTGCTCCCCAAGCCATATCATCATTCACATGGGGACCAGTGACCTGTGTGCCCAACAGGAGAGGGTGGTCACATCACTAAGGGGAGTGATAGAGAGGGCCTTCACAATCTTCCCCCTTGCTAAGATTGTAATATCTACCCTGCTCCAGAGGAGAGATTTCCACCCTGACACCATCCAGAGGGTAAATGCCAGCCTCTCTCGGGACTGTGTGCTATGGCCAAACGTACACCTGGCCCACCATCCCACCCTCAGCCTGGACTGTATTTAAAACAATGTACACCTGTACAGAGAAACAGTCCCCACCTTCACCAGGACACATGCTGAGCTGGGAGGAGGTCGTCGGGTAAGCTAAGCTTGGCGTCGGGTAAGTTTGGCTTTATACATAGCTTGGGCTTTGTCGAGTAAGGCTTAAACTATGTATTTAGATTGTAGTTAGGTATTGTAGGTAGG